GCTATGTGGCCCGTGTCCACCAAGACTGGACAGTGGACATACCTCTGCTCTGGGTCCTATGTTTCCCATAGACACTGATCTGGGAACAGCTCATGCTCCCCATAGCCTATCCTTAACCGTTAGCCGGGGAATACAAAATTGACCTTAGATCAGTGTGTACAGTGTGGGGGCAACTTCTCATGACACTCCAGAATTACTGGGCAACTGGAGGCTAAGGCACAGGGTGGAAGTGTTTTGAGTAATGTGCTCTTCACCCCCCTACACACTTTACGTCTACACATTAAATATAAACTTACTTTCTCTACCTACTCCAGTTCCATATACAATTCCCCAATTGTGCTGCTTTGAAATGTAATTAACTTTCATATGACTACAACTATTAAGCTTTAAATGATAATTAGCCTACAGCAAAGCAATCTTCCTTCCTTGTAGAAATCACTGATCTGCCAAGGTTTGATTGGACAAAGTAATTGGAAACATTGCCTTCACTTATCTACCCATGTACAGTTGAAGTCGGAAGTTTACATACACTTAGGTTGGAGTCATTAAAACTCATTTTTCAACCATTCCACAAATGTCTTGTTAAAAAAACTATAGTTTTGGCAAATCGGTTAGGACATCTACTTTGTGCAGGACACAAGTCATTTTTCCAACAATTGTTTACAGACAGATTATTTCATTTATAACTCACTGTATCACAATTCCAGTGGGTCAGAAGTTTACATACACTAAGTTGACTGTGCCTTTAAACAGCTTGGAAAATTCCAGAAAACGATGTCATGGCTTTTGAAGCTTCTGATAGGCTAATTGACATAATTTGAGTCAATTGGAGGTGTACCTGTGGATGTATTTCAAGGCCTACCTTCAAACTCAGTGCTTCTTTGCTTGACATCATGGGAAAATCAAAAGAAATCAGCCAAGACCTCAGAAGAAAATGTGTGGACCTCCACAAGTCTGGTTCATCCTTGGGAGCAATTTACAAATGCCTGAAGGTACCACGTTCATCTGTACAAACAATAATACGCAAGTATAAACACCATGGGACCACGTAGCCCTCATACCGCTCAGGAAGGAGATGTGTTCTGTCTCCTAGAGATTAACGTACTTTGGTGCGAAAAGTGCAAATCAATCCCAGAACAACAGCAAAGGACCTTGTGAAGATGCTGGAAGAAACCGGTACAAAAGCATCTATATCCACAGTAAAACAAGTCCTATATCGACATAACCTGAAAGGCCGCTCAGCAAGGAAGAAGCCACTGCTCCAAAACCGCCATAAAAAAAGCCAGACTACGGTTTGCAACTGCACATGGGGACAAAGATCGTACTTTTTGGAGAAATGTCCTCTGGTCTGATGAAACAAAAATAGAACTGTTTGGCCATAATGACCATTGTTATGTTTGGAGGAAAAGGGGGGACGCTTGCAAGCCGAAGAACACCATCCCAACCGTGAAGCACGGGGGTGGCAGCATCATGCTGTGGGGGTGCTTTGCTGCAGGAGGGACTGGTGCACTTCACAAAATAGATGGCATCATGAGGAATGAAAATTATGTGGATATATTGAAGCAACATCTCAAGACATCAGTCAGGAAGTTAAAGCTTGGTCGCAAATGGGTCTTCCAAATGGACAATGACCCCAAGCATACTTCCAAAGTTGTGGCAAAATGGCTTAAGGACATCAAAGTCAAGGTATTGGAGTGGCCATCACAAAGCCCTGACCTCAATCCTATAGAAAATGTGTGGGCAGAACTGAAAAAGCGTGTGCGAGCAAGGAGGCCTACAAACCTGACTCAGTTACACCAGCTCTGTCAGGAGGAATGGGCCAAAATTCCCCCAACTTATTGTGGGAAGCTTGTGGAAGGCTACCTGAAACGTTTGACCCAAGTTAAACAATTGAAAGGCAATGCTACCAAATACTAATTGAGTGTATGTAAACTTCTGACCCACTGGGAATGTGATGAAAGAAATAAAAACTGAAATAAATCATTCTCTCTACTATTATTCTGACATTTCACATTCTTAAAATAAAGTGGTGATCCTAACTGACCTAAGACAGGGAATTTTTAGTAGGATTAAATGTCAGGAATTGTGAAAAACTGAGTTTAAATGTATTTGGCTAAGGTGTTTGTAAACTTCTGACTTCAACTGTAGATACAGATAATTGATTACCTCGAAGGAAGGAAAGATGTGTTTCAAAATTATTGGAACAGGGGCCAAGGCCCTGTTTGAATACTTTAAAAACAACCTTCCTTCCTCCGTTCCTTGACATAATCACTGATCTAACACAAATCGATAGGTCTAAGCAACGGTTCTATCACATAGCTTTCACTAATCCAGCCACGTCAGATCAGGGATTTCTTAAAAGAAGGGAGGCGGGAAGGATGTGCATTCTTTCCTTGATGTAATCACAGATCTAACACAAATTGATAGGTGTGGGCAACGGTTCTATCACATGGCTTTCACCAATCCAGCCATGTCAGATCAGGAATTTCTTCAAGGTAGGCAGGCAGGAAGGATGCATTCTTAAAGTTTTGGAACAGAGCCCAACTCTCCTCCGCTTTACAGGTGAACGTGTACATCCTAGGGAAGACCTTCCTCCTGCTGGCTCGAGAGCTCTGCATCAACTCCCCAGCAATAGGTAAGATCTAGGATCAGCTTCCACTCCCCTAATCCTAACCTTAACCATTAGTGGGGAAAATGTAAAACTGACCCAAGATCATTGTCTAAGGGCAACGTCACCCTACTCCTTATTTTAGCTCAAGGGCTGAATTCCAAAATCGATCCATAGCCCTCCAACCTGGGCAGTGGGCACTTGTTCAGATCTGGAAGAGATTGGATAGGTATAAGCAATATGGTACTTACTTAACTTCTGATAGGCTGGGTGGAACTTTGCCTTGTTGGTTACAGCTATCCAATCCTTTTCAACTGTAAACATATTTCACTCATCGTTTTCCTTTAACAAAACAACTGAAAGCTAAACGGCTGTTTTATGTCCCTACACTTTAAATGACCTAAAATACCTTACGTATCTATTTCATTTCAATTATGGCCACTGAAGGAAGACTGGATAACAGATAGGTATTCTGGATAGATTAGTCATCTTCTAGAAAGGGAAAGAAACTATTGAAGTACGGGACACATCACAGTGAATCACAACAGAGTTTGTAAACCCAGAGGCGCAACATCATGAGACTTCCGGGAAAGCTTACGAAGCAGACCAGGCTGGGGTTTGAGAAGTCAAGGAGAGAAGTGAAAAATTCATCCATAGCTGTTCATTTTCTCGAAATCTAAAGGAACAACCTAGATTCGAGCCAATGTCTTAAGTAGTTGAACATATTACTCCAACCTCATTGTGACAAACTGACATGTTAATGAAGATATGTATTTGAATGGGGGTAGATGCTATGTTGGATCCTTGGGACATCCCTACCCTGAACCCTAACCATTTTAAATTTCAACTTCAATGGGGTGAAGTCAGAGTTGGACGTCCCAAGGATCTCCCTTAAGACTTTTCCATTTGAATAGCATACACACTGTGCAAGACAAGTGCAGTACCTCATATTACCATTTGACCAGTGGGGGCACTGTGTCCCATGTCTTTCAAGTGCCCGCCTCCCATCCCCTCCCATAAAAGATCAACATCTCTGCTGTGTTCTCATCTGACTAATGTAATGAGAGGGGTACAGAGCGTAAACAAGGGGTAATCATCCAAGTACACAACCTGGGGTTAATAGAATTAAAATCCCTCCCAAGAATTATACCCCCCCCATATAATCTTATTCATTATGGTCTAAAAGGAAAAACTGATCCTATATCAGCAGAACTACTCTGATATGCTCTTTGAATACAGACCCAGAGAAGGAGTGCTGATCTAGAATAATAATACATATGGTGGGTGCTTATATTTGTCCTATTTCACACGTGTATTATATGCATGAATTTGAAATGTGTTTTTTGCGTATCCCAACTCCTCCTGAGACAACCATTATCAACGGCGAACCTGGAACAATTAGGGTTAAGTTCCTTGCTCAAGGGCACATCGAAAGATTTTTCACCTTGTCGGCTCGGAGATTCTAATAAGCGACCTTTCGGTTACTGGCCCAACGCTCTAACCGCTAGGCTACCTGCCGCCATAATATGTTCCCCCCTGTCCATAAATTAATATAGCAGAAAATGAAAAACAGTTAGCAGCACTCCTACTCTGAAACTGTGAATATGGGCCCTGATTAGCAGGTCAGTGTGTCTTCCCTGCTAGGTGATTCCTATCCAGCTGCCTGTCAGCAGAAAGTCTGCCATTTTACAGTCTCCAACCTGCTCTAATGTTTACCCCTCATTAGAATGATGAAAGCACTGCAAGCACATTCAATAGGTTGAATTCAAAAATCCATCTCCCACGTTCACTTCACAACTTTGAGAGGTGGCACCCAACCAGAAAGATGAGCCAGAGTACCCTGAATATGTTGGAGGTGTGAGTAAAAAGCGTCGGTTGAAACAGGAAAAAAGGGCACTGCGAGTCGCTTCGTCGCCTCCGCAATTTATGCAAATAACTCTGTTTCGATTACAGAGCGATTATGTTGTTCTGTGGAACACTTGAAATCACAGCGTGAGAGAAACGTATGAATCCGTTGTGATTTGTCAGGATTGTGCGAAAGTCATTTGCCTTTCAAGTTTAAATTGGTGATCAAACCCTCCTAAAAAGGCACAAGTGGCAAGCCAAAACATTGATTTTACTGTTAAAGCAGTAACATGTCACTATAGAGGTCGTCAGCCTATTGGAAATGGAGTATGCTGCAGCATAATAAAGAGTCATATTCCGTTAGGCCTCATTTTGTGTCAAAAAATACATGACTGAGTATTTCAAACTCCAGACTACATGGTATGTGTCATTTCGCTACTGGAAGAGGTGGAGATTATGTAATGCAAGAAAATGGTTCCCTGGTGAACTGGTGACCTATAATTCTCTCTCATTGTCTCACCAAAGAACAAGTATCAACACCTTTGAGTTTGAGTCACAAAAACGTTTTCTTTATGTTCTGCAGTTCCATAAAGCTGCGCACTAAATACAAGACATGTCATTTGTCAGCCAACCTCAAGCTGTAAACAAATTAGCCTCAAGTTATGTACAAAAAACAACAACACGCTAACGGGGAGTGGCCCAGTAGGAGTGCAATAATACAACTTCTCTATTATTTACACCAGGCTGCATGCCACAGCGCTCAATAGTCAAAATCATAGGTTTTATCTATATCTCAATAAATAAAAACGGAAAGAGCATTCCTTCACTCAAACATTTTGCCAAAGGACTAACAGGCATGTTCACATTTACATAATTTCTCGCTGCTGCTACATTATTGAAGAAGGCAAAGGAACTCTTTTGCTTTTGGACCCTCTAATAATCCCCAGCATGTTCAACGAATCCAGTGGTAGAACGCAATTCCACGCAGGGGGAGGGGATGTGTTACAGACAAACCCCAGGATTCATGCATAGAAGACCAGTTCAGGGATCTGCCCCCCCTGCACGCCCGTCCCATTGGTACTGTCCGAGGAGCACTGGTACTGGAATGTCACTTTCCCGCATTGCACCTCAGTCATGCCCTCCTGCCCAAAGTAGCTCAGCTCGTTGCCGTCCAGCACAACGCTGACCGTGTAGAAGGTGTCCTGTTCCACTTGGACCGGGTGCTCGAACCACACTGAGAATGTGCTGCTGGAGCCGTCCGACACGAACTTGGTGAGGTTCTGCGCCAGCGTGGCACCCTGCCGCTTCAGTTCAATCTTGACACTGTACTCAGCCTTGCCGCCGCTCGAGCCATACAGGCCCAGGCCGGCAATGAAGATGCGCTTGTCTACGGCGAACTGGATGCTGTCGCAGCGGCCCCGGTAGCGCCACTGGTTGCTCCGGTAGGCCGATGACTGGAAGCGATGGCACCGCTGCGGCGTCAGGCCCGTCCGCTGAGCCAGCGGGAACTCCAGCTTGGGCTTGTTGGCCGCTGTGTACCACAGGAAGATGTCGTGTGTCTCCTCCAGGGTGAGCACGTCCGACTGTGCCGCGCCGTCGGCAAACTCCTCCAGCGTCATGGTGGGGAGGCGCACCAGGTACAGTACCTTGCCCAGCACCGCCCGCTTGTTCCGTGCCGTTGCGCCCAGGCCCTGGCGCCGGCACTCGGCCACTGCCCACTCCAGCACTGCCTGGAAGACCACTGCCTCGCGCGTGTTCAGCGTCTCACGGCGCAGGATGATCTCCAGGGTCTGCAGGTCGATCTCACAGAAGCCCTCGGAGCGGAGGGCTAGCTCAGCCTGGGCGTCGATTACCTCCCAGCAGCGCTGTGTCAGCTCTGGCTCCTCGAAGAGGCGGCTCTGGGAGAGCAGCACACAGGCGTTCTTGGCCTCCAGGCTGGTCTCCAGGAAAGTGACGCAGGCCTTGGCCAACGCAGGCACAATGTACTTCTTGGCGGCGTACAGAGTGGCCAGCACCGTGTCCGCCTCCAGTTCAATCTCGTCGCTGTACATATACCTGGAAGAGGGGGGAAGAAGTGAGAATTTAAGAGCCATTATAACCACAACCACCATCACAATGTATGATAGAACAATTGCTAAACATCCAATCGATCAGGGTTGGGGACCAATTCCATTTCAATGAGACAATTCAATTCATATCCTGAATTGAAATTACATTGACCCCAACCACAGCAATACATGAAAAAATACTTGACTGTCCAACCCAACCCCCTGAAAAACAAACAATCACACCAAGGGGTTGAAAGGAAGTTAAAGGATTAAGTTCCTTGCTGATGGGCACTAGATATGAGACTTTGGATTCAAACCGGCGACCCTCCGATTGCAGGCCTGCCTCTCAAACCTCTAGGCTACTTGCCGCCCCTTTGTATTGGCTAAATGACAAGAGCATGGCAACATTGCTGACAAAAAGGACTGAAATGCATAAGCAAGCCTTACACAGAGATGATGTAATGTGTTACTCACTTTAACAGAATTAAAAAAGCAGCAGGCTCCACGTCTGGGATGTGAATCTCAGACTCCCCTTCTGCCAGGTCTCCATAAAACATGGCACCAAAAACGGAGCTGCCCACCGCCAATACATACTGTAAACACAAGAAGGAAAGTGGGTTATTTCAATATGGCCATGCATATTGTTTGGGAAAATGTGATACATTCTTTATAAAGCATGTGTATATTTACACAGTTGTTGTGCTTATATGTATGTCAATGCAAACTATATGACAATGTGTAATGTAATTCATTAAAAAAATAGAAAATCCGTCTCCAATGGGCCACAATGGCAGGAAAAGCATGGTAGGCTACTACTATACATATGTCTACATGACCGCGTCAGGCTTCCAACACGCGTGAGACTTTGGCGCATGAGAAAAGCACACTCACCTTGTGCGCTGGAACTTTCTGCGATTCACCAGGGGGACCCACAATGAAATGAACATCGGCCATATGTTCTTTATTGAACATCAAGGCATTCCTGAAAGAGTCGAAATAAGATAAATTATATCAGGCATTCGGCGTCGTACACGCCACGTTAAATCGATGGCATTTTTAAGCACGGAGCGGCAATCACTACGCAAGGTTTTGCATAATATAATATTTGCATTATAAAATAGAACGAGAACTGAAGCTTGACATACCTTTCTCGCAATGTCGGGTGAGTGGACTGCCAGCTGGTAGTCTCGACGTTGTTGTTGTTGATATTTTGCAGAGTGGCAGTCGTAGTCGGCACGGTCACAGCTTGGGTGACCTGTACGATGTTTTTCTTGCTGGCTGCAGTCACTACCGCACCGTTGCTGTTAGGGAGGTTGGTGTTTAAGCTTGCAGGGTACAGTTCTGCAGCCATCTTCTTCTTCACGGACAAAGTCACGATTTCATAGCATACTGGCAGCTTGCCGGACTGCTTCCCACTCTTTTTAGTCCTTTTTAAGGTTTCTGGAAGCAAAAGCAAAAATGTAAAAAACTTCATGATTCGGCCATACAGGCAATCTGGGGGTTCTGGCATCAGCAAACAAATCCACCTGTCAACCTTTGGACAAGGCGACGTGCATTTAAAGTGAAAATAAGTATGTATAACAGTTCTGATTTTAAAATGTTTAATTCCACATAATGTAACAACACGTTTATAAACCGATACCCTCTGTCATCGGTCGTAGGCCTATGTACAATAAAACAAAACCCCTACGCACCCTGAAAATATTTGCACAGCAACATCAAGGTGTCCGTCCAGCGGAATTACATCCGAAACGGTTACAATTTCATCTATCTCATAGCGTCCTCCTTTTAAGCGAAAATGTATCCCCTCTCAAATAATCACCTCCACGTTGCACCCAGCGCAAACTGTTACAAAGTGTTACAATGTTGCATAACTCCACTGCCGCGACGATGTTGTTGTCACAATTATTTGATATCCAGGCAGACGCGAGTTCAAATCATTATCCAAAGGGTACGTGATCCATCCCTGTGCCAACAATCATTCTACTCGTATGACTGTAGGTACTGTAGTTTTGTGTATCGAGGGCGGACGCCCAGTTCGAGGTTGACAAATCAGATTCACTGATGCCTTTGCACGTCAGTATCCGGCAGGCGCCTCCCACAGCTGATCTGTACGATATTACATGGCGAAGATCAGAGCAAGAGAGTTAACCCTTGCCGTAACGTTCATGTCACTACTTCAATTGCCCAGATAAATGGGAGAAATATGGTTCATTTCAGGCATATTTATATCAGAGGCCCCAGTTGTGATTTTGGTTTATAGATAACGTATGATATATTCTACATTGTAGCCTATCTATAAAAATCCATCTGGTTTGTACGCCACAGGAATAGTTTACTGCACAAAGTTACTTGAAAACTACGAATTATTAACCCAAAACTCGCTCCACGAAAGCTGGATTGAACAACCATAAATATCCAGTGTGTTTTATAGAGCACATTGCCGAGCATATCAAGCTATAGCCTATTCAAGATGCAATAGCCTACTTGAGCAACAATTAATTTGCTGACAGTGCGGGACATGGCTCGCCAAACGGACGCCGTTTTTAATTGCGTTCCATGTAACAAATGAAGCGAAGTGCTTGCACAATTATGTAAATTCCATATAAATATTTGGATACAATTGTGAGACGCAATCGCCAGTCTTTCAGTTCGACACAATGTACATAATTTCAAGTTTTATGAGGCCAAAATGTTGCTCTCGAATCGGTGCATTTTTAAGAAGACGAAGTAGGCTACACATAGAAAATCTCTGCTGAAATGTCTTCCCCTAATCGCACAAGCTGTACAGTCGAAGTGATGCCAACCATAGCGTTCGATTCAGCAAAATTTCCATTCGTGGGAAACCCCCCGACCGAACAGTTAATAAATCTTTACCTGATTGAAATGCGGGACGGTCGTTGACAGAGAAAGGCGTTCAGGTTCGGTTACTGGACGCTTGCTCGCAGCCAGGAGCCATGTTAAAATCCGGAGGACTGGTAAACCGTAGGGAGAGAGGGGGGTTGGGCTTCAACTGTTTGTCCTGTTCCCAGGCCAGTTTCCCCCGTTATCCAACAGAGGGCCATGGCGCTACAAAATGGAATCGTTTGGAAGGGGTTTAAAAACGGACGGGCCAGCAAGTAAGAGGCTTATACTTAATACAATTTCAGACAATGGTATTTTGTCAGGCACATCTAGTGGTCTTGCTAATGTCTATTCTAAATAAATAGTGGCATGCAGAGGAAGTTAAATAAAGAATAGGCTACATCAATGCCACTGATAGTAGGCTATCCATCATCAAATGGTTGGCAATTGATACCCAGTGAGCACAGTCCGACGCCGACGTCCATGGACGTTGGAAAATACATTGACATTTGGTCCGTCTGCCATGGCTTGATTTCAACGTCTACAGATGTCGTTTTTTGGTCCGGATTTGATTTGGCCCAAACATAGACGTCAAGTCCATGATTGGTTCAGATTTGGTCTGGTCCAAATCTGAACCAATCGTAGATGCCAATGTTTCACAAGTTTGGATAGCACAGTACAGTACAGTAGAGCACAGCATAGTACAGTAAAGTAGAGTATAGCATTGTATCGGGTCAAATATCTGCGTTTCCTCCTGGTTGACCTGCAGAAAAATCATTTGGTGGGTGTAATGAAAACATTATTTGAACCCACGGCTCGGTTCGCGGTTCAGAACAATTATATTGAAGGTTGGAAATGTTTTAAATCAAGATAATAATATATTTTTTACAAACCCAGGAGCTAGTTGTGTTGCATTGTGTTGTGAATTCCATTCTGTGAGCGGTAGGGCAGACATACTGTATAAGCAGAACCTTAGCCACACACGCAGTGGATCAGGGAACTGTCCATTATTTGTGTAGTGCTGAAACTTATGTTTCATCCCCCCACGTGAGAATACGTTGTCAAGTTTAGACTACTTTCCCTGGCTAGGCTAGCTCATGTGAAAATGCCTAACGTAACCAGATAAATAAAAATAAATGTTATGAAATACACCATCGTGGAAACAGGTCCTGCGCAAGTGAAATCCCCGCTTTGGTTTGGAAGGATTTACGAGTCATTGTGGACAAAGACAACAACATAGTAGATGGATACACAGCCTGCAAAAAGTCCAAGCAGGTATTTGTTTACGATAGACTAATTCAGTTTATTATCAGTTAATTATTAAGTTAATTCAGGCTTTCGTTCATTAAGACCAGGGGTGTCAGTTGCATTTTTATTTGACTGTCTAGCTTTAATTTCGGTGATTATTAGCGAGCTGGGCACTGTCAAGAAACTGTATGAATGTAGGTCAATTATCATTTCTACACAGTTTCGATTTGGTTTTAGTCATTTTAAAGTATATTGAGTTCGTTCCCTCTGCCCCCCCCCAAAAAAAACATAAAAATCATTCAAAAAATTCAAAACATTTTTTATTTTTTATTTTTACTCAAACCACCAGTGGGATGGATGTTTGAAACCCATGATTTAGATACGCAGGCCATATCATGTTTAAACCGGTGCAGCTGGTAAAAGCCTACTAAATAAATGTATTTTTGCAGTCTTTATTCGATTCTGGAAATTGTTTATTTAAGTTTCAATTAAACTATTTGAGTGGCGGATCCGGCTCCGGGCATGACCACCACTTACTCTCCACCTCTCTGTTGCGCCCCTGGTCTGGTCTGGACCTCGGCGCGCTGCTTCCCCTCTCCTTCCTCCCACGATACGCCAGGCCCTGTCTGGACCCTGGTATGGGAGACCCCGAACCTGGAGAGGGGCTGACGTCATGGTCTGGACTGGAGCCGCTGACCGGTGCTGTACTAGGCACCGGTGGAGCGGACTGCTCTGGCTCCGTAGTGGAGTCGCTGACCGGAGCTGGATCAGGCACCGGTGGAGCGGACTGCTCTGGCTCCGGAGTGGAGCCGCTGACCGGAGCTGGACTCGACCCCGGTGGAGCGGACTGCTCTGGCTCCGGAGTGGCGCAGACTAGGAACACGCACCACTGGCTTGGTGCGAGGGGCAGGAACGGGCCGGGCCGGACTGGCGACGCGCACCACCGGCTAGGTGCGAGGAGCAGGAACAGTCCGGGCCGGGCTGGCGACGCGCACCACTGGCTTGGTGCGAGGAGTAGGAACAGGCCGGGCCGGGCTGGCGACGCGCACCACTGGCTTGGTGCGAGGAGCAGAACAGGCCGGGCCGGACTGTGGAGGCGGACTGGAGGTCTAGAGCGGAGAGCTGGCACAACCCGTCCTGGCTGGCTGCCCACTTTCGCACTACACGTGCGGGGTGCTGGCACAGGACGCACTGGGCTGTGCACGCACACTGGCGATACAGTTTGTAGAACTGGCGCAGGATATGCGGGACCAAGGAGGCGTCCTGGAGACCAGGAGCGTTGAGCCGGCACACCCCGTCCTGGCTGGATGCCCATCTTCGCACGGCACGTGCGTGGTGCAAGCACAGGACGTACAGGACTGTGCCGGCGCACTGGCGACACAGTACGTAGCTCCGCATAACACGGAGCTTGCCCAGTCATACGCTTCCTTGCGTGAGTACAGGGAGTTGGCTCTGCTCTAACCCTAGGCTCCGCCAACCACCCCGTGGTCCCCCCCCCCCCCCCAACATTTCCTTGGGGCTGCTTCTCGGGCTTCCTCCCTCGACCGGCCTCCTCCGTGTTGCCGTTGCTCCTCTCCTGCCTGGGCATCTACCTTAGCCCATGGTCCTTTCCCCGCGAATATCTCTTCCCATGACCACAATTTGCCCACCTGTGACATGGCTATTCGCTCCGCCTGGGCATGCTGCTTGGTCCTCGTTTGGTGGGATCTTCTGTCACATTCGTTGAAGGACGGGTCAGACCAAGGCGCAGCGTGATATACGTACATGTTTATTAAAGTAATAAACAACACGACAAAAGAAACGAAACGTGAAGTCCAAGGTAGCACACACAACATACCTTACAATGAACAAGATCCTACAACCCACTTGTGCCAATAGGCTGCCTAAGTATGATCCCCAATCAGAGACAACGAGCTACAGCTGCCTCTGATTGGGAACCACACCGGCCAACATAGATCTACACATAATAGATCGAAACATAGAAAACACACAACAAAGAACATACACACCCTGACTCAACATTTAAGCGTCCCCTGAGTCAGGGCGTGACACTGTCATTGGGTAAGAAGGCTAATTAGAAAGCCCTTTTTTCATTTTTTGAGTGATTTGAGTTGTCAATCCATAGGGGTCAAAAGCAGTGCACTATATAGGAAATAGGGTGTCTTTTGGGAAGCAACTCAGGTCATCCAGTTGGCATTCAGCCACCCAGTAGACTTACGCTACTCTGCTATTGTTTGAAGACCCTTCTCAACCCATTACCATTCATCACACCCTCTAATCAAAGTTTGACACACACATTATATTATCCATGCAGTTACAATGAAATAGTGACTTCCAAATTAATTTCAATTCCAGTGTAATATGGAGCTTATCCTGTGGTTAATTCTTCATTTAAGCTGCATTATTCTTTGTTGTGAATGGCTTCCTTGAAATGTCTGCTTCGGTGCTGATGTTGCTTGGAGAAAAATGTATATGATATGTATATGACTGAGTATACCAAACATTAGGAACACCTTCCTAATATTGAGTTGCACCCCCCCA